GCTCGGATTGGCCAATAATTGGCCATATCTCTATAAAAGGTATACATGATTTCTAAAAGATAGCACCCTCATCACGGAAGCACAATTTAAACTTTCACAATTTATTAAATACATATCTAGTAATATTTATAAGGGTTTTCTAAAAAGTAGCTTACAGGTGGGGGGTATTTAAGATTCGGTATAGCCGAATATAGCACTCTGACTTGTTATTTCTGATGTTACAACCAAGTTTGTTCACCAAATTTGAATGTTTTATGCCTTTTAATTTATCAACAAATATGAAAAATATTTCACGTTTTACATGTAAATGAAACACTTCAACTAAACAATAAACATTTCTTTCGCCCTTTTGTTTTATTTTCGTTATTATTAATTTTGCAACTTCACTCAATGAAATATTTTTAAAGAAATCCTTGACCGTAATTCATAACTTTATTTTTATGAATAAATAATGGGAGTGTGGTGATCGCGGCTTTTATATATGACTAGCTGCGTGTACCCGGCGTTGCCCGGGTTTCTTCAAAAAGTAAAGAGAATATTTTCCTAGGCGTCATGAAATAACTCCCCAAAACAAAAATGAAATAACTCCCTAAAATTTTGTTCAGAAAGCAAAAACAACGAAATTTGGGGATTTAATTCGTTTTTTGGGGCATTATTTCACATTTAAAATGGGGAGTTATTTCATTATGAAATAATTCCTCAAAATTCAAAAATGAAATAAATCCCTAAAAATATTTTTGGGGAGTTATTTCATTATATTACATTTGTCACACGAAATAAATAATATATGTCTGATAGACGTCCTTCGGCCGGGCGCAAGGGTTTTATCCTCTGGGGTACATTGGACACCGGGTTCGCTAAGAATACACTCGCCTTGTATCAAAAGTGTTCGGCCTTAGGCCGGCTATTTAGGAAATCTTTATTAAGCGAAGCCGGTGTTGGTCATATTATAGAGCGGTTAATCCTTGCGTCCGGCCGTAGGCCGTCTATTTAGGAAATATTTATTAAACGAACCCGTTGTTGGACATACCATAGAGTAGAAAGTCCTTGCGCCCGGCCGAAGGCCGGCTATTAAAGGAATCTTTATTAAGCGATTAAACTGAAATGTATTAAACTTTGAAGCCCCACTCGAAAGTATGAGCGACCTACTTTTTTTTTAGAAATTTTGTTATTTTAAATGGGAACTTATTTCATTTTAAAATTAGGGATTTGTTTCATATGAAATAAATCCCCAAAAATGGGGTGTTATTTCATTTTTATTTAGGAAGTTATTTCATTTCGTTGGGGCTTTTTTTCATTTTTAAATTGGGGAATTATTTCATAATGAAATAAGTCCCCAAATTTAGGGAGTTATTTCATTTTTGTTTTGGGAAGTTATTTCGTGGGGAGTTATTTTATGACGCCATTTTCCTAGCTGACTTTTTGAAATAGATATCAAAATTTATCTTATAACGATAAAAAAGTTATTTTATTTTCTTCTGCCTTTTTTATACCCTCCACCACCATCAGTGGTGATAGAGGGTATATATAAGTTTGTCATTCCGTGTGTAACACCAAAAAATATTCATCTGAGACCCAACAATATATATATATTCTGGGTCCTTATGAAATTCTGAGTCGATTTAGCTATGTCCGTCTGTCTGGTTAAAACACGCTCACGTTAAAACTAAGCAAATGAAATCAAGCAAATTCACAGAGAATATTCATTGTTTTCCTAACCAGTTTGGTATTGAAAATCAGCAAAATCGGTTCACAAAAGTTATGAGTAAAAATTTCAGACTACCTAAAAAAAATAAAGTTTTTTTCCCTAATTCTTGAGTAGTTTTCTCAGAAACTACCAAAGATAATTCGACAAATTTTGTCACAGATTATTTTTTTCATCTATAGATTAATTATGTTTAAAATTGTAATAATCGATCCAAAATTTCCCATAGCCCCCATACAAAGGTACATATTCCCGGAAATTAATTTATCGTTAATAACATCCTCAAATATATCGGTATCAACACAAAATTTTGTACATATTGACATTATATGAACAGGAATCAAAACTACGGACTGTAAACTACGGAGATCTGTATCGGTCCACAATTGCTCATAGTTCCAATATAAGGTCCACTTTCGAAAATCACTTAAATGAACATATTTTATTGATAAATAAAGCTATCGGGATAAAATTCGACATGAATATGTTTTGTATATACATAAATCGTTCTAAGGAATTTTTTCCCGGATCGGTCCATAATTGGTCATAGCTCCCATATAAGGTTCACATCCGAAAATCACTTAAACGAGCTTAATTCTTAGATAAATAAAGATATCTGGATAAAATTCGACATGAATGTGTTTTGTGTGTATATGAATTAATCTACGAAATTTGTTCCGGATCGGTCCATAATCGGTCATAGCTCCCATATAAGGTCCACTTTCGAAAATCACTTAAATGAACATATTTTATTGATAAATAAAGCTATCGGGATAAAATTCGACATGAATACATATTCATACATGTATATACATAAATCATTCTACAGAATTTTTTTCCGGATCGGTCCATAATTGGTCATAGCTCCCATATAAGGTTCACATCCGAAAATCACTTAAACAAGCTTAATTCATAGATAAATCGACATAAATGTGTTTTGTATGTATATGAATTACTCTACGAAATTTGTTCCGGATCGGTCCATAATCGGTCATAGCTCCCATATAAGGTCCACATCCGAAAATCACTCAAATGAACATAATTCATTGATTATTAAAGTTATCAGGGTAGATATGAATATGTTCGAGGTGAATATGTTCTGTATATAGATATAAATCAATTAGTGAAATTTTTTCCGGATCAGTCCACAATTGGTACTGGCTCCCATATAAGGTCCACATCCTAAAATCACTCAAATGCGCATAATTATTGATAAATAAAGCTATCAGGGTAAAACTCGACGTGAATTTGTTTTGTGTATAATCATCCGTGAACATTTTCCACATCGGTCCATAATTGGTTACATTCCATATAAGGAATTTTTTCAGCATCGGTCCATATCTAGCTCCCATATAAGGTTCACTTCTGAAAACCACTTAATGCCACATAATTTATTATTTAACTCGACATGAGTATGTTCTGTGTATAGATACCCTCCACCACCATCAGTGGTGATAGAGGGTTTATATAAGTTTGTCATTCCGTGTGTAACACCAAGAAATAGTCATCTGAGACCCAACAAAGTATATATATTCTGGGTCCTTATGAAATTCTGAGTCGATTTAGCTATGCCCGTCTGTCCGTTTGTCTGTCTGTGTAAAACACGCTCACGTTAAAACGAAGCAAGATAATATAACCAAATTCACCCAAAATATTCACTATTATCCGGTACAGTTTAGTATTGAAAATGAGCAAAATCGGTTCACATCGAGAAAAGTTATGAATCAAAATTTAAAACAACTCCGAAAAAATAAGCATTTTTTACACATTCTGATGTAATTTTCTCGAAAACTATGCAAGATAATTTCATGAAAGTCATCATATATTCGTTTCTACACAATATCTTGATTCTTGCTGAAAATTGCCAAAATCGGTCCATAATTTCATATACCTCCCATTCAAAAGTACATATTCCCGGAAAATGAGTTTTTTGTTAATAGCTTCCGTCAGTATGTTGATATCTTCATAAAAATTTTATAACTTAAAATCTTATGTCAATTCATTGAGAGAAAAAATTTTCTGGATCCCGAAAATCACTTCAACGCGCATAACTCATTACTAAATTAAGATATCCATATAAAATTTGGAATAAATATTGCTCATACGCACAGAAATATTACTATGAAATTTTTTTCCGATCGGTCCACAATTGGTCATAGCTCCCATACAAGGTCCCCTTCCGAAAATCACTTAAACGCACATAACTCATTACTAAATTAAGATATGCATATAAAGTTTGATACAAGTATTGCTCACATATACAGAAATATTACTATGAAAGTTTTTTTCCGATCGGTCCATAATTGGTCATAGCTCCCATACAAGGTTCCCTCCCGAAAATCAATTAAACGCACATAACTCATTACAAAATATTGATATCCATACATTTAGCACAAATATTGCTCTTATATACATAAATTACACTATAAAATTGTTTTACGATCGGTCCATATTTGGTCATAGCTCTCATACTAAGTCCCCTCCAGAAAATCACTTAAATGCACAATATTCATTGCCAAATACTGATATAGATACAGAATTTTGAAATTTTGTCTTTATATACATAATTGGTCATAGCGCCTTTACGAAAATCTCTTAAACGCACATTACTCATTACCAAATAAAGCTATTGATACAAAATTTGGCACAGATATTAGTATTATATTAATATTAGGTCCATAACATGGGTGCGGTCGGTCCCATGCAAATGTCCCTTCAGAAAATCACTTGAACACACATTACTTATTACCAAATTACGATATAGATAAAAAATTTGACTGAAATATAGCTTTTATGTACAGAAATTTTGCTTAAAGAATTGCTTACGATCGGTTTATAATTGGTCATATCTCCCATATTAAGTCCTTCCACTAAAAGCAATTTAACCGTATTTAACTAATTGCATTATCAATTTGTGTAGAACAAAATTATATATATGTATTTTGAAAATCCTTAAATCTTTCACACACATGCACATTATTAAATATCGTTAAAGCATATTTTAGGTCGCTATAAAAATATAAAAGAAAATGGGGTTTGTAATGTTCAATAAATCTTGTAATTGTAACAGATTTAAGCTGTTTAAATCTTGGGGTTTTTCTATTTAAGACATGAGAAAACTTATTTCTACAAATATTTGATCTATTAAAAAAGTATTACCATAAAAATAGCTGGTGGAGGGTATTTAAGATTCGACTCAGCCGAATATAGCACTTTAACTTGTTTTTTTTTTTTAAACAATATTTTTAATAACTTTCATCTTTTTATTTTTATTTTCCATGTTGTTTTTTTCCAGTTTTTTGGTCCGCGGGGAATATAATATTCCCAGGTGGTGGACAATCTGCCCTCGCTTAGCTGGAGTCACACTAAAACTGTGGGAGGACAGATGGTCCATCACCACCCCTATCCGCCAGCCGAGGACGCGTTCGGTAGGAAAAACGGGAAAACTCCCCCGAGTTGTTAGAATTATAAAAAAATCAATAAAAAAATATTTGAACTAACTAATGTTGTGCTTGTATTAAACAAGAAAAGCAATCAAAATGTTATTGAATTTACTAGCTATACCCAGTGCGCTTTGCTACCCTACAAGCAATATGTATAAATAAAAAACCCACTTAACGATTTTGAAGATTCTAACTACAATAGTTTTCCAGATTTATAATATGTTACATATGAGAGATGTCAAGCAAATTATTGCAAGTTCGCCAGTTTCTATCTATCACAAATTTCTATCTATCTATGAAAAATTTTAATAATATAAGAGTTTCCAAGATAAACGAAATTTTGTATTTAATTCATATATGTTGTGCCAAGCCACCTATTGAAAGTCCGCCCGTTATGCTCTAAATGTTCACATGAATGTCAAAATTCTTCATGTAAAATTTGAAGATATACGATATAAGAATTTTTCTATTTGATTCATATGGGGGCTTCAAGTTTCCCACACTGAAAAAAATCCATGCCTAATATATACGAAAAATGTCGTACATTGTACGAATCGTTCGTTGTTTCGCACCACGAAATTCTTTCGTAATATATACGAAATTGTACGAAATATTTTAGTATAATGCAAAATAATCTTGGAAAAATTAATTTACATAAATTAAAAAAAGTGAATTTTTAATAAATATGGTAAAATTTACCAAATATTAATTTATGCAAGCATTTTTGTTCATTTTAAAATAATTTTTCTAATTTTAGTTCAAAATTATTCTCCACACGAATTTTTAAATTTTTTTTATGAAAATAATTTGTGAATAATATTATACTTTTTCTTAAATTTTATAAAAATGTTGTAGTTTTATTTAATGATAATTTAATTAATATCATTATGTTTAATTTCGCTAAAATTTAAGAAAAAAATATTACGAAAAGTTTTCGTACTTTCGCAAAAAAAAGAAAAGGGTTTTATTAAATAATATTTCGTAGTATACACGAAATTTTTGTAAATATTACTAAAATAGAAGTTACGAAATTTTTTTTCGTAAAGTTGAGCATGGATTATTTTCAGTGCAGATGAAAGTCAGCACTTTTTCCTCCAAAATGTTCAGATGAATATTAAAGTAATTTGTGCAAAATTTTAAGAATCAAGTTCTATTAGTTTCCCAGATAAATGAAATTTTATATTTAATTCATATGGGAGGTGCCAAGTTCATCATTGAAAGTTCGCCCGTTATACTCTAAATGTTCAGATGAATGTCAAGATTCTTCAAGTAAAATTTTAAGATTCTAGCTGTAATAGTTTCTCAGATATACGAAGATAAATGAATTTTGTATTTGATTTATATGAGAGGTGCCACGCCCCCTATTGCTAGTCCGCCTACTTTTTGTCCTAAATAATCATATTGACACTAAAGTGGCTCCGACAACATTTGAGGACTCTAACTGTTATATTATCTCAAATATACGCATTTCATATTTTCTTAATATGGGCGTGGCTCCCCGCCCACTTGTAATTTCAAAATAAAAAGTAGCCCATTAGCTATTCCAGACATGCAGGAATACGCTGTGAAAATTTGAAGAAATCGGTTCAGCCGTTTATTAGTCTATAACGTTCAAACATACAAACAAACACACATTCATTTTTATATATATAGATTAAATCAAAATATTGCTGTTTATTCAATATAAATATTAATTATGATATTTGTACATAAAATTGAGTTTATATAATTAAAAAAAAAAATCAATTTTATTTTTTAGTTCAAAAATGTATACGAAACTTAAATAAAATTGTGTACTATAGATTTTATGATCTTAAACAAATTACATTACAAATCACTTAGATTTAAAATCTCATTTTTAATAGTAACAATTTTTTAGAAATTGAAAAATAATTCTGATTCTTTGGGAAATTCCAAATTGAAAACAGACAAGTTAGAGGGCTATATTCGGCTGAGTCGAATCTTAAATACGCTCCACCAACTTCTTTTATATTAACAACCTTTTAGTTAATCAAATATTTGTGGAAATAGGGTTTCTCATTTTTTCTAATAGAACAAGCAAAGATTTAATTATTTTAAATGTGTTACAATTGCAAGTTTTTTCGCTGCATTGTAAACACGATTTTCTATAATATTTTAAAATATGCTTTAACAATATTTAATAACTTCCAAGTATGCATGTGTGTAAAATATTTAAGGAAAAGTGCTTTTAAAATAACATTTCTGTAAATAAAAGTTATATTTCTGTCAAAATTTGTATCTATATAGCTATTTGGTAATAATGTGCATTAAGTGATTTTCGAAAGAGGCTTTGTATAGGACCGATCGGACCCATATTATGAACCGACCGTGAAAAAAATTAAAATAACATTTTATATACAAAAGTAATGTCTGTGTCAAATTTTGCATTGATATCAGCGTTTGGTAACGAGTAATGTGAATTTAAGTGATATCTGGGAGGGGACCTTATATGGGAGCTATGACAAAATATGGGCTGTTCGTGAATTTTTTTTTTTAATAAAACTTATGTAAACTAAACTGTTCGTGATTTTTTTTTTTTTTAATAAAACTTATGTAAACTAAATTAATATTTGTGCCAAATTTTGCAAGGATATCATTATTTGGTAATGATTTATGTGCGTTTAAGTGATTTTCTGAAGAAGATCTTCTACGGGGGCTATAACCAAATATGGACCTATCGTGAAACAATTTTTAAATTACATTTTTAAATACAAAAGTAATATTTGTGGCAAATTTTGTATATAAATTTTACTGTATAATTTCTATATTCCATTATTTGGTAATGAGTTATGTACGTCTTAGTGATTTTCGGGAGGGGACCTTGTATGGGAGTTATGACCATATATGGACCGATAGTGAAAAAATTTTACAGTATCATTTCTGTGTATATAAGCAATATTTGTGCCAAAATTTCCATGGATACCATTATTTAACAATAAGTTTTGTGCGTTTAAGTGATTTTCAGGAGGGGACCCTGCATGGGAGCTATGACCAAATATGGACCGATCGTGAAAAAATTTTACAGTATCATTTCAGTTTTTAAAGGCAATATTTGTGCAGAAAAACAAGGGGACCTTGTATGGGAGCTACGGCCAATTAAGGACCGATTCAGATAATATTTCCTCTATATGAATTCAATTGACATAAAACTGTTACTTGTAAAAGATATTGTAAGGATATTGTAATTCTACCGGAAGTTATTAACAATTAATGCACTTTCCGGGAGTATGTACATTTGTATGGGAGGTATATGAAAATATGGACCGATTCCGCCGAGGGTATAAAGAGCACCAAAAAGTTCCATTTTCATACTTCCACCATCAGTGATGATATATGGTATATATAAGTTTGTCATTCCGTGTGTAACACCAAGAAATATTCATCTGAGTCCCAACAAAGTATATATATTCCGGGTCTTTATCAAACTCTGTCTGTGTAAAACACGCTCACGTAAAAACGATGGTAAATAAATTAATAAAATTCAGTCAAAAGATTTCCTATTGTCCTAGGCAGTTTGCTATTGAAAATGAGCAAAATCGGTTTACGTCGGAAAGAGTTATGAATCAAAATTAAAAAAAAAACTAAACAAATTTTAAAAAATTAAGCTTTTTTAACACATTCTAATACAATTTTCACAAAAACTATGCGAAATAATTTCATAAAAATCAGCATACAATTGTTGGCATATGAAGGCTTCATTTCTGTTAAAAATGGGCGGAATGTCCACATTTTCATATACCTCCCATACAAATGTACATATTCCGGGAAAATGCATTAATTGTTAATAACTTCCGGTAGAATGACAATATCTTTACAAACATTTACAAGTAAAAGTTTTATGTCAATTGATAATTGGCGTAGCTCCCATACAAGTTCCCATACAAGGTCCCCTCCCGAGAATCGGTTAAGCGGTTAAACGATACTGTAAAATTTTTTTATGATCGGTCCATATTTGGTCAGAGCTCCCATACAAGGTCCCCTCCCGAAAATCACTTATACGCACATAACTTATTGTTAAATAGTCGCAAAAGAACTTCAGAAAATAAGGAAAAAGTCATCAAACAAAAATAATAATAATGTGCAACAAATTCGAAATTCTAAAATAACAAATATTGTAAACCCAAATAGTGAAGTAAGCGGAAAAACATATGCAAACAGCACAAAAGCAGAAAATGAAAATTTATTACAAATAATCGTATCCAAACTAAACAATCTTGAAGCTTTCAACAAGTCACAAGAACTTCGACTTAGAACTTTAGAATGCACAATCTCCAATAATGAAAACATCAATTAGAATCATGGAATGGAATGCAAATGGCTTGCAACAACATAAAAATGAACTTGAACTAATAATTGAAAAAGAATGCATAGATATATGTATGATAAGTGAGACGCATTTCACAAAGCAATCATTTATTAAATTTAAAAACTTTTATTGTTACCACAATATACATCCTAGCAATAATGCAAGAGGCGGCAGTGCAATACTAGTTAAATCTAGTATTGAACATTATGAAGAGGAAAAAACTAGCCTTCAAGAATTTCAAGTTACTACGATAACATGTAAAATAAATAACTCATATATTTCGTTTTCGTCAATTTATAGTCCTCCGAGACATACCATAAAACACATTCAATATCAACAACTAATAGAAAAGCACAAGTATAAATTTATAATGGGAGGGGATTTTAACTCCAAGCACACTCATTGGGGTTCCAGATTAACCACCACCAAAGGCAGAGAGCTCTACAAAGCATTAAAAAATACCGGATGTAATTTCATGTCCACAGGCAGTCCAACATATTGGCCAACGGATCCAAACAAGATCCCGGATCTAATTGATTTCTTTCTTTTTCGGAAAATATCAAAATTAAATCTTAAAATAGATGAAGGCTTTGATCTAAACTCTGATCATTCACCAATCTACTTAACATTCTCTTGCGATATACAACCAAAAGTACCA